AAAAGGATTTGAAATTGGAAAAAGAAAAAAAAGATAAAGACAAAATCAATAAAAGATTAAGTCCTGATGAGGACTATCGTGATGGTAAGAAAAAGAAACGATCTAGAAGTCCTTCAAATAGTCCCGCTTATAGTAAATGGTCATCTCATAGCATAAGGTAAATTTTTTAATGATTTGTTTATTCTATTTTCTATACTTTAAGTATACCTTGTATTATTTCAGAAGTGATAGTTTAAGTCCTCCTTCGAGAAAAAGACCAAATTCACCACAACGTAATAATAAAAAAACAAGAATATCGCCAATTGATTCTCCTCGTTCATTATCCAGAAGAAGGGACCGTGAACGTGATGAAAGGCATAATTATCGACACAAAAGATCGCATTCACGATCACCTCATCGGCATCATGTACGGACACCTCCAACACCATTGTCACATACATCACGAAAGCACAAACACAAATATTGATTAAGAATACTTATTGTGTACTGAATGATATTTGTTGTAATGTTTTTCCTATATTTATATTTACAGTTCTTATAAATAATTGTACTGATGATTTTATCAATTCATAAAATTATTCTTCAATTTTAAAAATAAAATAGATTTTAATAATCAAATTTAATTCCTTATAAATGTTACAACTTTGACTTTTTTTAATTGTCAATTTGTAACCTAATTTTATAATGATTTTTACTAAAATATTTCAATAATTGTGAATAGTGATGGCTCCATTTTTATTTTCTCCAACCTTAAAAATGTAAAATGTTTAATTTAAGGCTCAGTTTCATTTCATTAAATGTATTTAGCTTAAATGTAGTATTGTATCTGTGTATACATGTTTAAGAGGACGCTACACCCGCATGTGTTGTCTCCGTCTTACAAATGTACAACATAGCAAAAACTGTTTTGCGCGGGAAAGAACCGAGAAGGCTACAGTCATAACTAAGAAACGAAATTTTCACCACACAAAAAGGAGAACTTTGGCTGTGCAACGTCGTTTTTATTTTTTTGATATCATTTATATGAAAAAAGTTCTTACTGTTTCAAAAACCATTATTGTTTGTGTTTTTCAAACTTAAAAAACTTTTTTCATATAAATGATATCAAAAAAATAAAAACGACGTTGCACAGCCAAAGTTCTCCTTTTTGTGTGGTGAAAATGTTGTTTCTTAGTTATGACTGTAGCCTTCTCGGTTCTTTCCCGCGCAAAACAGTTTTTGCTATGTTGTACATTTGTAAGACGGAGACAACACATGCGGGTGTAGCGTCCTCTTAAAACCATACTAAAAAGGTGGGCAAGTTGGTACCCCTCTGATGTATATAAGTGGGTCACTGTAAAGTATTTGTTAAATTTAAATTCAATGACATCAAATAATTGCAAACAATTAACGAAAACGTTCTGAAAATCTTTACTGCACTTCCCCTAACCAATGTGAATCTAACAAGACCCCAAACAACGAAATCCGCTCTTCGGTTTCAGAGACCTATCTCACTAAATGAAAATGATTTGTTGTGACATTTTTCTGGATTCGAATTGTTATACCGCTTGGGTGTGATATCACTATATCAGTTAATACATTTCTAAGAATTAAAAATCAAAAAATTTTAAAAAATGTTCTTTTTAAATCTAAAATTTGAAAATTTAATACAAGATTTCTCATAAGTATATCTACCAAAAAATCAAATAAAAATTTTATGAGCATTTGAAGTTCAAATTTTTAAAACATTGGATATTCACTAGATTTTTCATGTAGCAATTTTATTATTTTGTTGTGATTCAAAAACAATAAACTTTAAACCTACTTTAAATTTACACCATATATTTATTTTATCAGTTATTATCCCTGATAAAATGTTCAAAAAATATTTTGTATCGTTTTGAGATGTTACGGTCATTTTACATTTTAATTTTTTTTAGTTTTGGAACAAATGCACATTACCAACCCCCTCACGATTTTTAAATCTTTTCAAACGACTTGAAAAAAAATTAAAATCGTGGGGGGGTTGGTAAAATGCACTTTAGCCTTAGTTTTTTCATAGAAAATATGTCAATAAAATCATGAACAACGATGGCAATTGTAAAAATAAACAATTCGGCATTGAAATTCAGCTGCGAAGGAGAAATACGAGGATTTTATACAATACACATTGAGCACGGTTGTATATAGATATAATATATAATATAATAATAATATACTATACAACCATAGAACAATACACAATAATACAATATACTACTTAATATATTATACTACCATGCAAGATACAACAATATACAATATACTACTTATATATAGAAATCTACAACAGTGACTTTGAATTATTTGTTGATGTTGGTATACTTTGTTTCTATTTCTTCCATGGCAACACCCTCGACTTATCAAAATAATAAATAAATAACAGGGACTAAGGTTTAATATAATATCTATGTATAATACTATAATATAAGACTGTGATAAATATTAAATAGTAGTAATATAGTATACGAAAGTTTAAATTAATATTTGGTCTTTATGTAATATTTTTTGCTGAGGTAACAATTGATAAAATGTACTAGTTTTATTGGTATATAAATAATTCAATGAACTGTAAATAGAGATTTTTAACTTTAAAAACAAATGGGCCAAAAATCTAGCCAATTCTCTGCCGAAGAGTTAAATGACTATCAGGTAATTTTCAAACACCAATTTGTTTTAGAAATAATATAGTACAGGCTATTATAAATATTATACGACTTGTGCAGTAGTGGTGCTATGGATTTATGTAATATATCTGTATGTGATGTACATTTTTTATTATTATTAAATGTACACGTTAAAGAGATATAACTTTAATAAATTAATGCTCTGAAATATGAGCTTTTTTCTCATAACATTTGGAGCTTATTTTTAAGATATTATATTACATGAATGCATAGTGTAATGTAAATAATAGAATAATAAATAATGCATTATACCAACTTATATTTATGAACCCTATTGTTTTAATTTTAATTAAACATTAAAGTTTTGAATTATTTTATACAGTTACTTAAGTAATATTTTTATTAAAAATCTTAAAAAATTATATATTATTTTAAAGCTTATTTATAAAATATCTTTATGTCAAACTAACTTCTAAACTTATATTTAAGGAGTATTTAAATTATAAGTATATTAGGTATAATTCGTATATCTTGTAAAGGATACAATTTTTGAATACATTTGTTTTGCTGATACGATTTTGACGCCAATCGATGGATTAATTTTTTATCCCATGAATATTTATAATCAAGATTACTGATTAGTAATTGTGTGATAAAACCACGGTCTTTAAGATAAAAAATACCGGGGATCAATAAAAACGTAACTTCAAGGCGTCGTTCGTCGTTATAAACCAATAGAGAATAGACCACGTATTATGATAATATTATATCTTCGTGGCTTCAATAGGTCGATGTCGGCTACTGAGCACGGTGCACTATTAATAGTATTTTTTCTACGACCTACAAGTAACACAGTAAATTATGTTTATATAGTAGAACCAACCCTGTGTTGTTATTATTAATATTAGAGCGAATTCAACTATTGTCAAACTTTAAGTTAAGAACATTACATGTGTCTCTACGTCGGCATTTTTACGATATTTTAATCGTTATACAATTACCCCCCCCCCCACCACCCGAAATAGCAGGTACAAAAAATAAATTATCTAACCTACAAATGTATTTATGAATACCTACTTTAAATTTTTTCAAAACCCTCCCTGAAATTTTCTCCTGCATTCGCCCTTTTCTTAACATAAAGTTTTATAATAGAAGAATTCACTTTAATATGTAAAGTAATAATACAGGGTAGTTCTGCTTTAAAAGTAAATTTGCCATGTTATTTGGTAATACCTAGTGCTCTGACATAACATAATAATTAATAATATAATTCTTGTAAACTTATAAGTTGCCATGCTTTAGATCATATAAATCCATAAAAGTAATAATTTGAATAAATAATCAATAATGTAAAACTAATTTGAATTTGGCGCTAAATATGTCATCAGACCAATGGAGAGGCCGTATTTCCTTATGCATTTTATTCGAATGTGCTGCTGCACATTGATCAACACGTTTTAAACGATTTAATATATATCTTAAGACGACGCGTCGACGCTGCCCATAAATTTGTCGTCTCCGTCTTTCACACGCACGACATATCAAATTGTCGTTCACTAGTTTCAATAGTGTGCTGTTAGTTTTGATATGTTTCTCTCTAAAAAGTGTAAAACAGGTCAAATCACTCGAATATCAAAATGTACAGCACACTATTGAAACTAGTGAACGAAAATTTGCTATGTCGTGTTTGTGTAAGACGAGACAAGTAGACAACAAATGCATGGGGAGCCTGCATCCTCTACCATCAACCGCTTCGGTCCCTATACACTATCAATACTATTATCAATTATTGTGCAAAACATTTCCAACTCTGTATGATTTTCTAAATAAGTTGTACAGTACTACAGTCCTTCAATATCTATACTAGACTGTCAAAGTGTCAACAATATTGTGCAATATTATCGATCGTGTAGCCGTGTAGGGGGAGGTTTAAATCGTGGTTCGTGGTCCGTGGACACTGGAGTACCGGACGCTCCACGGGCCACGGCCCACGCTCGTAAATCGTAATATAACTATTGACCGTATAAGCCACGATCAGTGTAGCCATACCTTATAAATTATTTATTGTGTATTATTCAATTTAAATGTATATAAACAAATTTATTTATTAGTTTTACTTGGTTTATCAGTGTAACTATAATATTCCAAAAGGGAATATAAATCATTTTCAATGTGTCTACACTGATACTTGAATAAAGTTTGTTGCCCGCTTATTATCATTAAGCTTCCCGTATTCTCATTTTTAAGTATTTGATATTATAAAGTTTCACGTCGGACGTGTAAATACTAAATAGCCATCGTGATCTTTATTGGCGGTTGTTGAAAAAAAGCGTTTGTATGTACAAGGAATTAGCCATGGATGAGAATCCACCTCTAAAGAATGTCGATCCACTGGAACTTTCCTCCGATGATATACTCGGTGTAATGAAAAATATTTCAATGGTCAAAAATGGATTAATGTCTTATGAAAATGACACTGATCAAGTTGAAATTGGTAATAGTGATGCAGATGCAATGTTTACAATTGGCGATAATGATTTAAGTTCTTTTGAAAGAGATCTATTAGACAATGTAATTGGAATGGCAGAAGAAGAAGTAGTTACTCAATACGATGAAACACCTACCGTGAAAGAAAATTTCAGCAAATATATGAACAAAGGTAAAATGTTGAATGAGCGACTTCAAAAAATAATATCAAAGCTACAGAATATACAACTAAAAACTATGAGTAAATGTTCCACTCAAGAAATCTATAATGTGTTACAATCACAAAAAAGTAATGCTATTAAAAATATCAAATCAACATTGCTCAAAGTTCAAAAAAGGCAATCTAATCCATTTTTGAAAAGTTTACTTTGTGATGAAATTAAAGATGGTGAAAAGGTCTTTGGAATGCTAGAGTCGCAAATTAAAACAGTAAATGAAGAATACGACTCGGAAGCAACAGCTAGTGATTCAGAAAGTGATACATTAGGAGAAACTAGCGAAGAAGAATTCCAATCATCCAATTGTCCTATAGAAAAAAGAAATTCTTGGAAATGGCTTCATGAACGCGTAAGTATTGCGTACAGATTAACTTGGCTGGTTAATGTTATGTCGGATATAGAGTTCAAAATCAATTTTTATAATGAAGCATTAAATCGATATTCTTCTCATCCATATGTACAAGACCAGGAAGAAGAATCTGGTAGAAGATGTTTTCCATATGAACCAAAAACTCAACATAGAATGTTAATGCAACCTCCACTCATAAATTTGGCTGCAGCTTTAAAAAAGGGGGACAAGGCAAAATTAAATCGTATTAATCCCTGTGATTGCTATGGGATTGATTCTTGTCCTACTTGTGTAAGTCTTCAGCGCCATTCAAATGATTCTGGTCATTTTTTGAGTGATACTTTTCATCCAGTCCTATCATATTCTAAAGATATTTCTTTAAATGTTGCTCTATCTAATGAGTTAGGAAAATCATCTTTTCATCTAAAACAAAAAAATAAGTCCTCATCTGATACAGATTTTAATAAATATTTTGTGGACCGGACACCTGAACAAAGTCCTGCCGTTAGGCAAGTTCCACCTGTTAAACTACAAAATGCTTGGCCTAACCGCAATGATCCAATTACTAAATTCAATCGTAATCAAAGACAAGCAAGAAAAAGGAGACGCATACGTTATAGTAAACATAAAAGAAGTAGGATGGATGAAGATTATAAATATAATAGTCGAAGAAGTAGTGAAAGTATTTGTGACGATGATGATCTTGATGAGGTGTATGAAGAAGACAATTATGACTCTGATCCAGATTATAGCCCTTGGTTTCCAAGAACAGGAGATAAAACATACAATGCTAAGCGTGAGTATGATATTGACAATATTGTTATACCATATAGTATTGCTGCTGCATCGAGAGTCGAAATGGTCAAATATAAAGAAATAGTAACACCAAAGTGGCGCATTGTTAAAGAATTAGATGTAGATCCAGTTGAATTTGCTGCAACAGTTCCAGAACCAGAAGTTGTTGAAGATCTTGATGATGGAAAACGCAGTGCTCATCATGAAGCATGTGAAATTGAAGAACGAATGAGATTCAGGACTACAAAGAAACAAACAGAGCGCACACATAAGAATAGTGGGCATTGTAGTAGTGGGGAAAATACATCTGAAGCAATGTCACCACTATTAGAAAGTCGGTCCCCAATGCCTACTGTGGAAGAGGAACCAGACGCAGGACCAAGTAATCAAGATTGGAACCAATAAAATATTTTTATTAATTATTGATGAATAAATATTGTATATTATAAACTGTAAAAACTAAATTTAATACTTTAGGTTAGTTTCACATACAACTAATTGTCATATTTAGGTATATTTTTTTTTTATAAATTAGAACTAATGTAAAATATATTTTTTTTCTTTTCTTGTTCTATTATACAAGTTGTATAGTAAAATATAGCCTGATAAACATTTACTTTTAAAGTTGACAACTATATTTCATTAAGATAAATCATATTTTCTCATTTATTTTATTTTTAGGATCTCACTTATTTTACAAAAAAAGAAGTTTTGATGTAAGTACCGATATTATAAATTATATAAACAAAAAATAAAAATACAAATATATTACAAATTTTGGAAAATTTATCATAAATCTATAAAATAAGAAAGTGTATAATACAATGTTTAGTGCACATGAAAAGTTCAAGTCTTTAGCTCCTGAAAAAGTGGGACATAATAAAAATGCAAAATTAGCATTAAACAAGGTCCTTAAGCTACCTGAATTAGCAGCTAATCCTTTTGGTGAACGTATGTGTCAAGTATTCAGTTCTAGTCAAGATGGGGATTGTACTTTTGAAGATTTTTTAGATATGATGTCAGTATTTAGTACTATGGCACCTGCAGATGTAAAGGCTGAACATGTCTTTAGAATTTTTGGTAAGAGATCGTATATTTAACAAAAAATATGTGATTTATACAATGTGTTGGCTGTTGGGTTTATAAAATCCTAAAATATAAACATAAAATTAACTGATAATTATTCCAAAGTAATAAATACATTTCATTAAAAATCATTACAGGTTTTCTGGTTTGGGAACTATACAGGCTTTTGTATAACTTTCGATTATGTTAGAGGTTTAGGTAATCAATAAAAATCTAGCTTTCCAAAGTACATGCCATACTTTAATTCTATCTTAGAATTGTATTAACTATTATTGATTAGATTTTGAAATTTATTGGCACCCAAAATATATCAATTATTTTCTGTTAGTAAAAAATATTAAAATCATCAAATAATTTTAATGGATTATTTAATTATCTTAATCAAAATTTTTAGATTTTGATGGTGATGACATGTTGGGTGTTGGAGATATAAAAAAAGTAATTCAATGTTTAATCGGAGAACAAAATGTCTTTAATGATAATGATCTTAAACGTTTGGTACATAAAATATTTGAAGAAGTAGATTTTGATGACGATGGAGCTCTTTCATTTTCTGAATTTGAACACGTAACTGACATGTGTCCAGATTTTGTTAAGTCAGTATATATTTTTATTGTATTATCACTGCTTGTTTGTTCTTCAAGATCATTGGTTTTAAAATGTTCAATATTTAAGTAGATTGTATTAAGTACTTGTCATAATTTGTGTACAATTTTTTTTATATTTTATAGAGTTGCATGAATTGCATGGTTGTTAATTGTTAGGTAATTATGCCTCTCTAGTTTAAGAAATATTTTTTTTTTTTTCAAGAATTAAACATTTATAGCATTAATACCAAATGCCAATACCAACTTATAAGTTAATGACTTTTTGTTACCTTTTGTACTAGAGGGTTCCTGTATATTTTGTCATATTTTTTCTCCATTTTATGTCAAAGTGACATGTGTAACAGTTCATCTATTCATACCTAGGTATAAATAAGACCATATTTAATTAATTTTTTGTTTGGTGTTGTAGGGAGGGGATGTAGCCCTCATAGTTTCTCCTTATTAATCTGTGTGGACATTTCCCTCACATCCTACTACTAAGTTGGTATATTTGCAAATGGTTTGTAATAAACATACATTTACATAAGTACTTATCCAATGTGATTCAAGAGGCATGGAAAACCTCAATTTATTTCTTTAATAATGTATTAATTGAAATTCTGACTATTGGAATTTTAAATATACTGAAGTCATATTTTAAATTATTAAGATTTAGTAAAATTATATGTATTTAACAACCTTAATAATTTACTGTAAAAAAAGGTTGTTTCTCATTTTAAAAAAAAAGTTGGTTTTGCCAATTATCAACTTTTAAAATCAACTTTTTTTCAGCATATTATGGTACAGTAAATTTAATCATTTGCCAAATTTTAGAAACATCTTTATGGTATTGATCTTGGTCTTGGCCTCTTTTATTGAAGAAAACATTTTGTGTGACTTGTTATCCAATATATTATACTAAGGAAGGAGGGGTTAAGCCCTCAAGCTTCCACCTAGTTGTCTATGTTAATAAAATATTTTAGCTACATATTACAATAAATCATATAATATGTAACTGACGATAGTGACATTTTAGCCCTTACAATTTTACTTTGCCCTGGACCACGCAAAACATCAGGACGGCTCTGCTTATCATCAATCCCTAGAATCAGGAATCTATTAAAATTTATAAAAATTAATTTGGATTGTTGGAAGGGCAAAGAAATTTAACGATTTTGCTTGCTGATGAATTTCAGTCGGAGTCAACAAATAAAAGACATTTTGATTTAAAAAGTTTGTTTTTCTTAAAATGTTTAAGAAACTTTATATTTACTTAATTTACATTTTCAATTTTTTACACTTATTTGTTAATACTTTTTAACCATTGCTTAAATTTTAATTTATTTAGCTGTTTGGCATAGTTTATATATACCCTTAGTGCTTACTGCTTAACTCATAAGTGAGTGAATATTAAAAGTGGAAAATAGGGTTTTATTGGTTTAAATTCAGTTTTATTACTCTATGTTCAAAACCCTATTTAGTATTTATTAGGTTTAATGTTAAGTCTGTGAAGTATGAACACAAAACTATATCATCTGTATACATTTGATGTATCAAATGTATTTGTCTTTCATTAGACTTTAATTTTAAATACATTTGTAACTAGGTAGAAACTTTTAATTTTCTTTTAAAATAATAATATAATTATTAGCAAGGCTCAAGAGGATGCCACGTCCGCTTGCGTTGTCTCCGTATTACAAACGCTTAACATACCAAATTTACACTCAGAAATTCATGTTTTATGGCATTAGCTTAAAAATTAGAGTGAATATACGACCTATTATGAAACATGATGGTAAGAACATTATCTGTGTTTTTTTGGAAGTTGTTTTACGATAATTCAGTTTTTAAGTGAATTATAAGCATTTTTAATTTACATTTATTATACACAAAAATGCGGGTGTGGCGTTTTCTTAAGATTTATAACTTATAAGTAGGGTTCGGGACATGTTGCATTTGAATATTATTTAATTATGGGTTTAGAATATTCAAAGGAAAATATAAATTTGTTTTGAGACATGAGAAATTTATATAGTTAGTTAAAATTATTTTGGGTTCATATTTCCAACAATTTTAGTGCAATAAGACCCAAACCCTACTTATAACTTACTTACTTTTCTATGACCCAAACCCTACTTATAAATGATTACTACCTAGTATTAAAAGTTTAAAATAGGTTGACTATATTATAAACTACCTATTTTACTTCGACAATTATTTTTTCAATATTATTATATTGAAATATTTTTGTATAGTACCTGACTGTGTTAATTGATGGTTGTGCAATTAATATTTAGGTACAAAAACCTTATTGTGGATTAGAATAATATAAGTTAAATGATTAGAATTAAAATGTATTCAAATAATACTACAAATGAATAAATAAATTCCCAACTACTGCTTGTTATTTCAACTGTAGTTAATAGTGTTACAATCTAGGACAATAGGTTATAATCTGTGGTCCTCGATACTCATGTCTTGTCCTATGTGCTCTGCCACATATTGCGATCTACTAACGATTATGGGACGTTTGTCATATGTGCTATACTACACGATTGTACTGTATTTATTTATCTTTAGTTACAATTTGTTGTGCATACAGTTCTGAATTCACAGTCGGACCCCTCAAACACTCCTCCCCTCCCAATCTAAAAATGTTACCATGTCATAAGTCAGAGATAAATTTAGGCACCACTTCGATATGAATCAGCATTCAGCTAAATATAGTAGACTGTAGTAGAGTTTCATACCATTAATTTTACTTTTATAAGAAAATTGTTCTCCTTTAGTAATTATTTGTGCAATTGTATACACGTAGTGACTCTGATTTGATATACTCGGAAATGACGTATTATTTGTATTTTGAGTTTATTAGTGTTACTAAATAATATATTATATTTTTACAGGATGTTCAACATTAAACTTTGAAAATATAAGCTTCAAGAGAAAAATATAAGTTAAAAAATAGTGTACACATATTAAAAATAATTTCAAGGACAAATTATACTTAATTATTATTTTTATTTTTTTAATTATTAAAACTTGATACATATAAGATGAGAATATTGATTGCTTTATGAAAAAATGTAAAATAAAAAAAAAATGTGATTTGTTCAATGATATTTGTTTCTTATGACTTCAAGTATCCCCTGCAAAAATGTAAATAAGTATTTATTAAGATAATGATAACATAATATATGTACATTAGTAAGTTTATATTATGGCATTAAAACACTTTTAGATCCACAGATGCATGAATTTTTACTGGCAAATAAAATATTGGTAGAAAGGGTATATCGTGGATATCAAACAATCTTTTTAACACCATCATACAAATGTACAAAATGTCAAATGATATTATATTGTATTGTATTGTATTTGTCCAAGCCTAGGAAATTTAATGGTATTTTATAACTCAGTTAAGTTGTTAATATGCATCAATAAGAAAAGTTTTAAAAAAAAGGTGGGGTAGTGGAAGTTGCTCTGCTGTACAGTAGGTTAAAAGTAGGCCACTGTAATGGATTGTATTACATTTGAATTCAGTGATATATTATATTTAATTGTATAAGAAAAACGATTCTGAGCAAAGACGGTCGACAACTTATGATTTTACTAAATATATTTTATGATATTACTGTGAATAAAGTAATTTATATAATATAACTAACCCGGGAAAAAAATTGTGTTTAATTAATTTCTTATGGGTGAATTCGCTGTGCATAGGTATAGAAGGAAAATCATATTATATTTTAATTTTTAGCCATCCCGCTTGCCCTTGAGTTTTGTTTATGGTTATGCAAACAGTATATTATCAGGTAGGCAATTTACCTGTGGTAGATTGAGGACACAGCATGGTGAGAGATAAAATATAGCTTATATGCTTTGTAGTTAAAAAAAAATGTGTCTACAGTGTACCTAAAATAGTATTGAAATCATAGTTGATCATCCCGGATTTTTAGAAGTATTTAATATTTATATATTAATGTATTTTAGAGGATTATTTTATTTTATTTTTACGGAAAAACTGGCGTAGTTGTACCTAGATTTTTGAAATAATTTGCATATAATATAACCTGCAACTTAGGCAACCATTAATAAACCAAAGAAAATGTTTTGATTGCCTCCGTAAATCTTAAGATCCCTGTTATACCACCTATTTAAAAAGCAAATATTAGAAAATACTTTCTTATTGCATATCTAGATCATTAGAGAGACCACTAAGTATTTCAAATATCAAGTTCGTAAGTTTTGTATTTTAAAGCTAATATTGTATATTTAGTTAAGATATTGCTTGATAGATGGCGCCACTATTATATTCTTACAACCCCTTACTTTCTCATTTAGGGATTGGATTTCCAAAATTTGTTTCTTAGCGAACGTCTACGTCATAATAGCTATCTATATGCCAAATTTCAGACATATCTGTGGTTCAGGCTAAGCGATGATGAATCACTCAGGACAAGTCATTTTATATATAATATTATATTATATAGATTTACGTGGAACCTTGTTTTAAATGTTTAATCCTTACCTATAAAAGTTGAACATTTTAGACATTTTGTCAAAAATCGAACTTTAAATACTTGCAAAAAAAATTGTACCTATGTACTTTTAATATATTTAAACTGCTATTGCAGCAGCATATCAGGGGCCTTATATTACATTTTAACACATTTTGGCCCAACAAATACGATATTTGATATTTATAATAAAAAAAATTAAAATTTTATATTGTTAAAATATTTTCAAAATTGTATGGTGTATAGAAAATGGAAATATAAACATTCAGTGAAATTTTGATGTATCTACAGTTATTTGTTTTCAAATTTCAACAAAATAAGAAAATCACCATATATCCAGTGAATATCCAATGTTGTAAAAATATGAACTTCAAACGCACATAAAAATGTAATTTGACTTTTCTGTAGATTAAAGTTGATAAAGGTCGATTAAAGTTTATCTGTTTGATAAAGGTAAACAACCTTCTGTGGAATCTTGTATTACATTTTCAAATCTTAGATTTAAAAAGAAAATTTTTTATGAATTTATAACCCAAAATAATAGTGATTTTTACATGTTTTGTCAACATTTGAACTTTAAATGCTTATAAAAAAAAATTGTGACTGGATTTTTAATATTTTTCAAGTGACATTGTAACAATATATTAAGTTATTAAGAGCCTTGTATTAAATGTTCATGTATTTTTACCAAATAAATAAAATTGCACATGCCAATAACTCGATAACCATTTAAATTTCACTACGTGAATTTTACAAAAACATACATTGGTTTAGACAAAATTAAAGTTAGTTAACGTTGTCTGATTTTGATTCTGAAAAAATATTTGAATTCGGCAGATAAATGTCTGTAGATCGTATTAAACATTTTCCGTTTGTAATATTAGTTTTAATTTTAATTATGATTCGAAAAAATTCATATTTTAAAATTTTCAATTACAGTTCACATTTTCACAATAATATAAAATTTAGTTTTTACTAAGTGCTTCGTAGGATCTATGAACAATTTTCTGGTGAGTTAAAATTTTTTTTCAGAATCTAAACGTTAACGTCGTTAACTAACTTTAATTTTGTCAATACTTTAGGTCTTTTCAACTAAAATTAAAGGCAGTAGCGAGGCCCCTTAAGCATTTACAGCTAAGGATGATAACTTAAAACAAGGTTTCTCATAAGTAGTTCTAACTGTAACTATTAAATCTAAAAACTATATTTACATTTTTTTTTTTATAGATATTTTAAGTTTAAATTAGATAGGTATTTAAACAAAGAATAAATAACAATTTTAGTTATTTTGTTGTAACTTAAAAATATTGTTTGTGGGTACTTGAAACTTGTGACAATGAACAATGACATTTTAAGAAACAATTTTTTTGGTAAAAAATAATTCAACTAATAGATTCCTAATGTGTTGTAAAATAAATCACTTTAATAGGAATAAAATATACTTAATAATATTAGGCTGACAGACATTACAATGGCACCAAAGTAAAAGTGAACATTGGACCATGGCCAGATCTTTTTTTTTATGAGAGTTTTAGACATTTTATTTACATCATAACTTTATTATAAGCATGAATGTATTCAAGGAATGATTATGAGTAAATATATATTAGGGTACCTATATATTAAATAATAAAGATATTGAGGACGCAAAGTTTTGAAATTGCCTGACCTACTGTATAGCAGAGCAGTACTCACTTTTCCACCTTATTTTGATTTGTGCTGTACGTATGTGAAAATTTGTATTACCTAATGAGTTCTTTGCTTGTAATAATGAAAGTAATTGGAAAAATTAAAATTAAATCATAGTTAGGTAGGTACTTGTTTGTTATCACCCAAATAAATTAAATCAAGTGAAAACACAGATAATGTACTACTACCAAAAGTTACTACACAAAATTGGAATTGCTGAACACAAATTTGCTATTTTGTATGTTTGTAAGATGAATACTATACACACAGGTATGGCGTCTTTTTCAGCGATCTTTTAAATTAAGTAGTTGTATGATTTTGTTACTTATTTACATGTAATTATAACATTATTAAATTATATAAAATGTCGAAGTAGATTAGAGTCAGTGATGGAGTGATAACAAACAAGTTCCTATATTCTTTACCTTTAAAATTATGAAAAATTACTCAAATACTATTTACAAAATATATAACCAACATAATAACTTTTCTTAAAAGTTGAAACAATAATCTATACATACGGAAGCTTCATTCTCATAAACGTCCAACAAGTAAAATATGATACTATGATGCAGGCAAATCCAACACCGGTCAGAAGTGTACGATTCAATTTTGGAGTTGATTTATTATTGGTTAAATCCAATATAACAAATCCCAAACCCCCAATGTTGAATAGAAAACTTGATGCTAAACCTTCCATAATGTATTGTCCGTTAACTCTGTAAGGCATAAATGCCACCTATTTAACACAATGCATTATTTAAACAATAATTACTTACAAAATAATTCAAAAATTATAGTTAAAATTTACTGGTTTTGAATGTCCTTTTTCATCTGTAGTCGAACCTACACTAGGTGGTTCTATGATGACGTCATATATTATCCCTAAAGAATAATCATAATATGATTAAAAAAATTGAAACCAAATTATCAATAATTGTATTAATTATTCACTATTCTGCTTTACCTCCAGTCACCAAAAAGTATGAGATTGTTACAATCACATACATGAACATGGCAGATGGTTTCTTTAACCATGACGGCCGCTTTAAACGCAGATTTGGGACTTCGAGAACTTTAAAAGGTAAACTATATAATGATTCCATTTTCAAAACATTAATTTCCGTGTGTTTATGTCAGCTGTGAATGAACTGTGTACAGCGATTCTAAATACAAAATTTTAATTTTAATTAAATCCAAAAAAATTGACATAATTCATAAGAAATAAGTTCCTTTGCTGTTTGCTAGTGATTACAATTATTTATATTCATAACCCAGTACCCACAGTCCGTGGTCACAACTCTACTTGTCTCTACTCTTACTTATAGTTAGGTACTGATCCTTCCGGTAGGCGGTAAACAAAAATAATAAATACGGTTTTAAATAATTTATACTGTTATAGTACACGGTACAATGTTCTGAGCCTCTGTGATGATAGAATCGTGAATAACATTATTAATTATTATTATAATATTAGATAGACCTTACGGCTTATACACACGACTTAAATGATTTAATATAAAAAAAATATATGATGTGATCATACCTGTGATCATACATATATATGTGATCCCTGTAGTTGTTTAGTTGTTGTATAAATCCATAGATAATAATAATATGATAAAAATGTACTATCACGGACTAAGATATACAGGACTGGACACGACAAGGTTGGAGGGTGTGGGGGGGTTGACTACGAAATGTTTTACAACAGGCAGTGTTCGGGGGGATATTTTCCTTTTAGCATTACTAGCGCCGTCCTAGTGGATACTTATGGAACTAGAACACATCATACAAATTTCTAGTTCCATAAGTATCCACTAAGACGGCGCTAGTAATGCTAAAAGGAAAATATCCCCCCGAACTCCGCCTGTTGTAAAACATTTCGTAACCACAATATTCATCTCGTGTCCAGTCCTGTATATCTTAGTCCGTGGTACTATGAAACACGGACTAAGGGCCGTTCTTACAATGTCCGGTAAAGTGTCGGTTAACGCTAACCGGACGTCGTAAGAACGGCCCTAAGATATACCACTATACCAGATATAGTAGTATCCGTGGTATGAAATATGAATGACACGTAAAAAAATATAGTCCACCAGAAACGCTAGTACCGGATCCGGATCATTGAACTATATGATTATGATTTTATTATTTTAAACCACGGACTAAGATATACGGGACTGGACACGACAAGGTTGGAGGGTGTGGGGGGTTGACTACGAAATGTATTACAACAGGCGGTGTTCGGGGGTATATTTTCCTTTTAGCATTACCACGATTAAAGATATATCTTTAATCGTGAGCATTACTAGCGCCGTCCTAATATATATATATTATCTATGGTTTTAAAACACGGACTAAGATATATAGTATATAGTATATCTTAGTCCGTGTTTTAAACCGTCTTATCATGGCTCGTTGGGCAGGCGTACTATCACAATTCACAGCCTCACATGTACTACTACTATCTTAAATCGTGGTCCAGTCGTCCGGATTCGATAATAATTTATAATATTATGTCCAAACGTCCATTTACGAATTTTGAATTTTCGAAAATCCAAATCCAAACTTAATTTATGGTTATAAATTATTATATTGGTTTTAGGTTTTAATCAATTATTACCCTTCTGAATTTAAAAAAATATTCAATAGTATTTGAATGTTAGGTAATTGCTATAGTATTATAATATTTTCAATTACTATAACTTAAAAGTTTGTGTTTAAATATTATGTGTCAGTGCTCGATAACAGTAGTCATTACAGGAATACAGTTCTGTATCAAATTCATAATTTGTGTAAATTGTTTTTGAATAATTCATAAGTGATGTCTAGTAAATTGTCATCGAGATTATTTAATTTAATAAAGAAGACAAGTTGTGCATTATGTTCAAAACGATATGTTGGTGTCAATGTAAAACCTGAAAATGTTGATCCTTTTAGTAAGATGCATATGAAGTTCATTAATCTATGTTTGAATTATTATTTTAAATACTTATTTTATCCTACAGTGGCACCTTATAGTGAGTCACCTAAAGATCAGCAGCGGTTATATGTATGGGGTATGGCCGAACATGGTGCTCTAGGTGATTTAAAAATCAGATCCAGAGAGCGTCAGATACAGTTCATATACAGACCTGTGAGACTAAGGTTTTCATATTCTCATAAAGTATGAACTATATTATATTTGTATTATAAAAAGTATAGGTATAGAGTATGTTCAACGCATGACCCTGAATTTCATTCAGACATATTTATTGTACAAAGGACATTATATTACACTTATTTTGGAAAATTAAAACTAAAAAAATCATTTTTCGAGAGGTGCTCTATTGATGTTGTATTTATCATATTTTTTAACAGTCTATCTACAATAATTGTACAAAATTCCATCTGTTATCCAGTATCCTACTTTCCATAGAACTTTTTAAACTTGTAAATACACTATTAAAAAAATATAATAAATACATCAAAACTTTAACTTGCTCTCAATAAGTACATTTTTAAGATAGAAATATCATTAAGGTCTGTCATGTAAAACCACTGAAATAAATACCTTTACTTTTATACACACTATATACTTATTTCCTACAAATACACCTTTCCAGATCAAGGATTTAGCATGCGGTTATGGATTTACAGTTTATGCTGTTGAAAGTAATCAATATAAACTCTTTGGCTGCGGTTTAAATACAGATTCACAGATAGGTAATCATTTTTGATATGCTAAATTAATAACTTAATATTTGAGGTATTTTCAAACTTAATTTTTAATTGGTGGGAATTGAAAAATAACTATCACAATTTTTATGAAATTGTATACCACAAATGTATAGGCAGATCTAGAAATGGGTGGGCTAGACACATACACTGAGAAAAAATGTGATTAATTATAAATGTAGAGTAGTAATTTGTATGTACTGTTATAGACTATAAGGAATTGCACATTTTGGTAAATAATACTATAAGTTTTTTAAGTTGAATATTTTGAAAATTAACGGTAATATTACTTATAGACTTTTAATAATAAATGTTTCTTTTAACTATGCTAATATTTATTTCTACTGTTTTATATAGGGTATCATGATCCTCGAAAAGGGTATCCTTTAGGATTGATATTAGCCACTGTACCAATTCAACTTCCTTTGAAAGAACCAAATACTAAAATAAAAGCAGTGGCCGCTGGTCGCGCTCATACACTTGTATTAACAAACACAGACGGTGTATATGCTTTAGGTAGTAATTGTTATGGACAATGTGGACGAAAAATTATTGAAAATGAAGACTTCAGTAAGCTACGAAATGTTAATAATATTACATTAGATGATGGTATTTCAAAGATAATTTGTGGCCAAGATCATAGGTAAATCATTTTTTTTTCTGTATTGTCTCATGTTATAAATCATACAGATAGTTTAAATGGATTTACTTGTTTAGTTTTTTTATAACTAAAACTGGTAAAGTATATTCATGTGGATGGGGTGCTGATGGTCAAACTGGATTAGGCCATTATAATAATGAATCACAGCCTACTATTGTTGAAGGAGACATTAAAGGTGAAAATATTGTAAAAGTAGTATCTTCGGCTGATTGTGTCTTAGCCTTAAATGGTAAGTTATTTATCAAATATGTTTTGCATTTTTTAATACTTTAAGAATGTTTTAAATTAAAAATAAATATTTATTTATATAGATTAAAAAGAAAAAAAATTATAAACAAAGGTTATTTTACAATAATTTACATTGTGTCTTTAATAAAATGTTATACCTTATACTTCTAAATGAGATTGTTTTTTTTTTCAGATCAAGGTGAGGTTTTTGGTTGGGGTAATTCAGAGTATGGTCAATTACTATTAGATAGTGATAAATATCAAGTAAATATACCAAGGAAATTACCTTTGAGTAAAGGTATAGGTAAAATCACTGATATTGGTGCTACTGGGTCAGCTTGTATAGCATTGAATGGTAAACATAGATAGGTAATTTAATCATGTTAGAAATTACTTACATCTGATCAATTTTCCTGTACAGATGAAGGTGTGGTCTTTGTTTGGGGTTTTGGTATTCTGGGAAAGGGCCCTGAAATGAACCAAAGCCGTGAACCCACTCCAATACCATCAATTTTATTTGGTAAAAATCAATATAATCCTGAAACCCGAGTGAAATCTGTGTATTGTAGTGTATTTCACATGGCCGCCATTACATCTGATGGAAATCTATACACATGGGGTAAAAATAAATGGGGCCAATTAGGTCTTGGCCATACAAAAGACCAATATTTTCCTTTACAAGTAAATAGTTTTTATCTTCAATAATATAACAAAAAGCAAAATTGGGATAATATTGAATTTTTATATATCATTTTTAAGGTTTCAGTCGGTGCTGCTGTTAAACGTGTGAGTTGTGGAGTTGATCATATGGTTGCGCTATGTATACCATACCAATAAAACAAAACAAAATAATAGTTATTTACAAATATTAATTTCTATACCAACTAGTTAATAAATATATTGTTTATTCTATTTATCTTTTCATTTCATGATAATATGAGTTGTAGTGATTTTTCAATTGATTCCTTAGATAGCTCAGCATTTATAAATTCTAATGATAAGGTTAAGTATGTTGAACAAAACATAACATCAAATACTGAGTGCCGATTGTTTGACTTAATGTCTGTTCCTTTGTATTCTGGACCGGTTTCTTTACAAGAACTTAAAAGAATAGAAGTAAATGGTGATAAAATATTAGAAATAGAAACTAAAGAATTTTCAAATCTGAATAAGAAGAAATATTTATCAAATACTACAGATAAATGTAGGGTAATTACAAACAATTATTAATAATATGGGTACTATACTAGGTAGGTAATCGTATCTAAAATGAATTATTAAATTTACTTTGAATTTAAATAATAATAAAAAAAAACATGTGTAATTTATAAATATCGATGTACCTATTTACTAAATATATTTTATTATTATAATACAGCTAAAGAATTTTAAGCATCCTAGGAGGCAAGGAAAAATATACAGTCAAAGGTATCACCTAAAACTAATCAGAAAATAAAATCTATAGGTTTGATATTTTTAATATGTAAGTATTTGTAATAATTATAATGTTTAGAGTATATTCTATCAACATTGAAAAGATTGAACAGATGAAACAAACATCAACAAAAAGCATAGTAACAACCCATGAGGAATATTATAAAGAAGATGATTCTGTTAAAAAAAAACAAGATAACTAATTTGTTAAATAAAAAATTAAAACAATTTAAAAAGAAGAAATACATAATTTTTTTTTCTATTGCATAACCCTCAGCAACATAGGCCATTGGTTGTGGGGAGGGAACTGTGGGTTTTTAGATTGGGTAGGTTGATACACGTGTGTGTTGTGTTTTGGCTGAATTTCTAATGGGGTAGCCGTAGGTTTCTTCCATGCCCCGGGTGGGGGATGGTGGCACTTGCCCGAAGCAAAATGGCCAGTATCGAACCAGTGTCGGCTGCGTCGCCTTGTCCACTACTCCCTTTGGCCAATCCATCCCCCACATTAAGTTTAATTCCTTAAATAAGAGAATGAATTTTATTTGTAGGAAAGTTATAACCTATAGTTTAATGATTTTAGATTCTGAGCGAATGGATAAATGTATTGATTTTACAAATAAATATTTTTTTTATATATCGACAGGTATATTTTTAATTTTCTTTGTCATCACTCATCACCTTTAAAATAGAAAACAAGTTTCAATTCAACTTAAAGGTGGTTTCTGTCTCCAAGGGGAATCTAGTCTGTAATTTGGATATATTAATTCCCTAAGTATGGAATACCACTAGCTTTTGACTAAATTATTTTATTTTTTTTAGATAAACAATTATTCACTGTAAAGATCCAAATTGTTACTAAATTTTGATATCGCTATTTTCTAGACATTATATAACTCTATTTATAAATCTATATAAGCAACATCCTTAATTCTGTTCATAATTTATTGTACTAAACATATCATTCCATAAAATTAAATTTTTATTTTTTTACTTAAAAAATATTGTTTTATGACAATAATTAAGGGGACGTGGTACCTGCATGTGTTGTCCCCGTCTTACAAGTGTGTAACATACCAAATTTTACGCTCAGATAATCACGTTTAGCTCCGTTAGTTTAAAAATTAGAGTGAATTGACCTCATATAAAATGTATACATTCATACTGTAACCAAAAAATCTAAAATATATATAAACACAGTTATTACTTATTTTTAAAGTTCAAATTTTTGACAAAATACATCTCAATATTTTTTGTGGGTATGCGCTTAAAACCTTTAAAGTATATTATTATATTTTGTATAATGGCATTATTTTACATCACAATGACATTTTCAAATGCAGTTTTTTCGGCAAAAAAGAATTCAACCCACAGTATTACTAATAGAAAAATAAATTATTGGATATCCCTAGAAATAAAAGCTGACGCCAAATTTTGTTTTCGGTTAATTCAAATTTCTAGATCTGGCCATTATCAGAGTACCCAATGGTTGTTGTAATATACTAATATGAATTCAAAAGAAAATGTAAAATTTAGTAGGTACTTATCTAACGATTCTTTAGATTAGTATATTATTTACAAATAGTAAAATAAAATAATTAATTACAAATTAATGTTCTCAACATTTATTCAATACAATGTGTATTATATTTGTACAATTTAATTATAATATATAAAAAATATATCATTGCATTAAAAACTATTCATTATAAATAATACTTATTCATTAAAATTCTTGATTACTATATGCAGAAATCATAATTGAAGTTATACCTTCAGGTGTTTCATTTTTGGTTTTAAAACTTTTTAAAATTAATGCTACTTTAGCAGCTAAAAAATGTTTGCAGCACAATGCTTTATCTTTTAATACTTGATGTTTGAAAAAATTGCATGTGCAAAAGTTAGCCGTTTCCATTATTGTATAAATATCACCTCTTGAGCCAACTATTTGAAGTATGCTTCGTAGATGACTTACAATTAAAAACACACTACCATCATCAATTAGTTCAAGAGCATGTTCAGTCAATGTAGAACCAAAAACCGAGTTCAAGCTTAATAATAATTCTTCAATACAAGATCGTTGTTCATAATCTTTTCTTAAATTATCCAATACTTCGTGGACTATTGCAGGTAGTAGCCTACTAGTCATTTAAATGTATTCTGTAATAATATTTACCAATTTGTTTATAAATAGTTCATTAAAAAAAGTTTTCATGAGACTGAGTTAGCACATATTATAGCATAATAAATAAAAATATTTTCTTATGTATATAGTAAACATTAAAAATTATTCTAAACAAAACCATGTGTATTATTTAAAGTTTTTAAACATTTATAATTCAGGTGGACAACAATATCACAAAAATTAAATCCATTGTTGTTAATAAAGTCTGCAATTATGACGTTTACACCATGCTCGTTACCTATTTTTTGTTTACTTATCCATTTAGGTATAGCAATATTTAATGAACGACAACAATTTTGAAGATTTGAATAAAAATATCTCATTATAAACTTTACATCTGGTGTAAATAGACACTGAGTTACATATCCTGCATTTTTTTTTCTTTGTTTGAGACCACATTCTAAAAATGTTATTAATTTTTTATAAGATGTGGTTTGTGGCCATGGTGTTGGCCAATGTGAAGATGGCCAAAATATGTCGTCTTGAGAATGTCTATAAACAATAATTACCTACAAATAATAATAAAAATTGAATTAAGAAATTTTCAATTAGATTCTATAAATTGTATTAATTACTCAAGAAAACATAAAAATAGAAACTTTACAAGTAAAATTAATTTAAATTACACTGGCTAAGTGTCATAAAAGAAAAAAATATAAGTAATGTACAGATGTGAATATACGTTTAAAAATTGTATTATATTTTAAACACTACAATATGTATGAATTTTAATTGGTAATATACTAATATCTATTTTATTACCTGCCAATTATTTGCTCTCATGGTATTCAAGTCAAGCTTTTCAATTGGATATAAATAAGGACAAATCATATTATGAAATAGTAATTTCAAAGCTGTTGATAATCGATTGTGATCAGCTTCTGAGAAATTATAAAAATGTTGAAAATCCAATATGAGAATCTCCTTGGTATGTGTCACCAAAAATTCCTTCATATTCACCAATTCCTTTGTAACTGGATCACCATAAAGTGCATGAACTGTGTAAAAATTGGTATCATTTGGTTTAGTCGCCATTCTTAAATCAAAATACCTGAAGAAGAAATAAAAATATTTTTAGGAACAATAATTTTAGAGTTTAAAATAAATAGTGTTTGTGTAAGTATTCATTTTTTATTGCATATGAAATTCAACATTGTATTCACCAAGAAATATATCGGGGGGAATAAGGTGGCCCAGCGGTCTAAGGCGTCGGTTGCGGCAAAACCGGTCGCCGGTTCGATTCTCGACCACTGGGCGGCATTTTTCTACAGGCAAGTCACGGTGTCCGGATAACAAGTGCCGCCATCCCCCACCCGGGACATGGCAGAAACCTACGGGTGCCCCATTAGAAATTCTGCCACAACACACCCACCTACAGTTCCTCCCCTACAGTACCACAGGCTAATGACCTATGTTGTTAAAGTCTCAACCCTTATAAAAAAAAAAAAAAATATATAGCTAATATATTATGCAGTGGTAGTATTCAAGAAATAGATGGTTAACATATTATGCAACATGCAGTGGCAGATTAAGGGGGGGGGGGGTTGTTTGGGAGCTAAAGCACCTACCGTTCTACAGTTAAAACTTTTTTATTATAAATTATTTAGATATCAGTCATCACTTAGAACTAAATATATTTTTAATTGTAGACCACAGCTGGTGTAGACTACCTACCATAAATTATATTTTAATTTATGCTACATATTACCAAAAAATAGGTTAATTTGGTTCATACCCCGAATTTCTTCATGATAAGTAAGTTAGCTTTAATATCAACATATAACACCCACCCATAGGCCTTAAAGTAAGTACTGACTAAGTAGTAGGTAAAACTATGCACCCACCATATGAAAATCTTAGATCCACCACAAAAAATATGTAAAAAAAACTAAATATTTACACACAAACTCATTGGTCAATTCAGAAATCAACCATAATTATTTTTGTAAGTCTAGAATCTAACTACTAACAAACTGATTTAAGTTAAAAACACAAATAAAATAAATATCTAAATTACCTTATTCCAATATTCAGTTGAGTTTGAATATTACATGTCTGAGTAATAGACCATTTGTAGACAAATCGGCGCATGGCAGGTCCTAACAGGCAGTTTAAATATTTTACAAGTCTTGAAGCATCTGGCCCTAATTCACTATGTGGTGTGATGGTGTACGAAAACGAATCGTGAGATCCTAAGACGTAGTTAATCAGTTTATACATATAAAAATACATAGTAATAACTAATAACTTATATTAAGGTATACTATTATGGCTTTCTCAGTCTCTTAACTTTACACACATTAGTTACAACAAAAAGTTATTAATTTAATAATACCTGGAATTGCTAATTGTGTAATAGGTATAAATGTAAGTGGTTTGGGCAGTTCTGATACCCAATACTCTTGATTTAACTTCATTTCTAAAACAAAATAGAAAATACATTAAACTTTAAAATAATCTAGGAAATAGGTATATTTTAGCTGAAACAATAGTCATGATGAGTTATGACTGATCAGTGGAACAAAATTGTATGATATTGATTTGTTGAGAAAGTAAAAAAAAATCAAAACACTTATTGAGAAGTATGCAGATCAGCAGATCAATGATCATACATGTACTTATAGGTACCTCTATTGAGTAAACAATTTTAATATGTGCCTTAGATGAAATACTATGGAAAATAGTTTTAATACTCACAAATTGTTATCAAATTGACAGAAAAGTTACTAAAATATATTAAATAAATATTCAGCCTATTTTTGACTAAACTTATTATTTAATAATAATATTTAATCTAACCGGACTGTATCTGAGACACTGGGATACTGTTGTACAATGGCACAATTCATACATATATTATGAAATGAAAATAAGCTCATAAATAATTGACAATGGAATATAACAAAAAATATTAGTTTCTCAGTAAATAATAATAAGGCCAGGATATGACATATAAATTGATAAGTATTGTACTCTTTTGTCTATAAAACTATATTACTATAAAAGGGCATATGGGTTATTGGACGTAGAAGGGGAAAATTTCAAGTGTCACGATTACACATTATAAATTATCAATATTATGCTGTACTAGATTTACATACTAGTAACTATTAACTACAGTCTACGAGGTAAAATGGCAAACAATTTAAGATTTTATAATTCTTACTATCACTACACAATATGCAATATAACAATCATAAAAATTAATGAATTCAGATTTAATTTTCATATATTTAAATAAATTGTTATGAATTACAATTTCCGTGATCAAGACGTCGCCTGCTGAGCAATGAGATTTTAAATTTTAATTTATGAAAATAAATAATAATATTGGAAACAGGAGACACACATGCCGAGAGGAAAGACAGATAGCGTACTAAATGGCTATCAGGCTATGGCACTATTCAGGTATTCTTTAATCTATGTTAAATAGTAAATACTAATGAGTAGTACTGACTTAGTAGTTAGTACTAACAAAACGGCAACGTACTATGACTAGTGACTACTGAATAGTGAGTAGTGAGTAGTGACTTGTGACTAGTGACTAGTGAGTACAGATAGACTATAGTGACTACTGATTAGTGAATACTGATAAACAAGTAGCACCGAATAAATTAAAAACTAAAATCCCCCCCAATCCACACTATCATCATAGAACAATATGCTATCATGGCATAGAATAACAAAACGCGCTCTGGTAGAGACAATTTGAACCTTCCGATTCGGTATTTATAGATTTTAGTTATTTAACTTTTTCTAATAAATTAATTTTGTTATTGAAACTTTACACGCTGGTAATTACAATTTTACTCATTATAAAATACATTCTTATACATTTCACTCAAAGCAAAACGACCAAATGTCGGGAAAATACATACAAGCTGTATTATAATAGTGTTTCAAAAATTACTTTTACCTTTGTAAAATTGCACTAACAGGCGTTAATTAATAATAAATAAATAATGGTATCACTGTGATCGATTATGGCAATAATGAAATCTAATAAAAATAATGAAAAAGTTGCTTTAAAAGGTTATAGGTACCTAATAAGTAATAGGTATGTTATAGGTTACCTACAGGCTACAGAACACAAAAAATGTAAGCTGCAGTTAAATCGGTAGAAATGCGTGAAGCCTTGAAAACTATCACAGACTGAAGGTGGTTTTATATTTAATACATTTTATGACACTGTCTTAGATTAAGACTTAAGATTTAAGATTTAATCCATGTATTATCATTATATTATTATTCTATGATTTAATCCACTTTGCACAGATGACTATATGAAAACCACGATTTAAGATAGGTACCTAGTTTTATGTAATTTTGTCAAAAGTTGAACTTAAAATGACTATAAAAATAAACTGTGCTTAAATATTTTTTGAGATTTCTTGGTAACAGAATTAACTACTTAGGTGGAATCTTAATTTAAATTTTCAATCCTTAGATATAAAAGTTGAACATTTTATAAATTTTTAACTACGAAATAATTATTCAATTTTAAATTTGATAAATTTTGTCAAAATTCGATCTTTAAATGCTTATAAAAAAAAATTGTGCCTATGTATTTTTAATATTTTTCAACTGATATTGTAACAATATATCAGGGGCCTTAAATTAAATGTTTACACTTTTTGTCTCAACCGATAAAACTTTATTGATATTTATAGAAAAAAAAACTAAAATAATTGAAAACTGAAAATTCCGTTAACAGCTCAAAAAGAGTCAAAATATTTTCAAAATTGTATGGTTTATAGGAAATGCTAGTATAAACAGTCAGTGAAATTTTCATGTATCTATAGTTATTCGTTTTTGAATTACAAAAAAATAAGGAAATCGAGTGAATACATTCAATGTTGAAAAATTTCAAACGCTCATAAAAATTTAATTTGACTTTCTTATAAACATTTTTTTTTTTGATAATGGTAGATAATCTTATAAGGAATCTTGTATTACATTTTAAAACCTTAGATTAAAAAAGAAAAATTTTTAAGAATTCTTAACTCAAAATAATTTGCTAATTTTCGTGACTTTTCCATATTTTGTCAATTTTTGAACTTTAAATGCTTATAAAAAAAAACTGTGGCTAAGGATTTTTAATATTTTTCATCTGTCTTTGAAACAATATACTAGGAGCCATGTATTCGATTTTCAAGTATGTTTACTGAACAAATACATTTTTATTGATATTCATAAAAAAAAAAACTAATAAAATTGGAAACTGAAAATATCCCTAAATAGTTCAAAATATTTTTAAAATGCCTTCGCGTATAGAAAATTCAAATATAAACAATCAGTGAAAATTTCATGTATCTACGGTAATTTTTTTTTTAAGTTACATCATAAACCAAATTCAATTTTGTGAAAATCGATTTTGAGTAAAAATTCCAGTTTTTCCTTAATTTTTATTTTATTTTTCTAGTAAATTTAATCAAAGATCTTGGCATATATTTGGAAATTAACTGATATATAATGTTTGTTTTTGATCTTATTAATTATAATATTGGGTGTCCCCCACAGATATATATAATAATAATAATATACATTTTTATATAAATCTGTGGTTTCCCCTAAATTGTTATCTGAAATTAGTTTTTGAATTCCATATAAAATTATATGTAACTCAGATTTATATTTATTTCCTCTTTATAAAACCAATAGTGGTACCAATTCTTTTCTATTTTAAATTTTATACAATGTGTATACATTTGGACACGTTTCTTCTTTCTCATAATAGTTTTAAAACGAAATCAATGATATTACTAAAAGATTTCATTTCACCAATCAGAAAAAAAAATGTTTATATTTTACCATAAATATATAGTTATAAGTCTGAATTATTTATATATTAATACAATTATTATATTTTTATTTTTTTATTACCTACTACAATTAATTAGTTATTTGTCGGAATATGTTTTACTATATACTGGAAGAATGGTAAATCGTAATAGATATAACTATTTAATACTTCAACTTTTTTTCTGAAGGCTATCAATTATTGTTTATTATTAATAATAAACCAAAAAAATAAAAAACACAATATTAACTTGGATTTTACACTGTTTTAAACTTATGTTTTATTCGTTTTAAGCAATGAACAAAACGTTTAAAACAATTGTTTTAAATTCATGTTTTAAACATATTTAAATAAGACACAAGTTGTATATAGGTAACATTGTGTTTTAAACATAACAACCCTGAATTGTCGGTTGGACATATTTTTTTCTCACTTTCTTAATTCTTATAGTATTGTCGTCACCAATTTAATTTCAATCAACCTTGGTCATCACTCATCAGTCAATAAATATTATTATTAATTAATGTTATTATTATTATTAAACTGTATAGTTTGTACTAGACTAGACTTTATGTATAGAGCTCTCTAGTTTATACCGTATACAAACAAATACAAATATTTAACAATTTTACAAACACGTAACACATGGAAGTAGAATTTATTCTAACTGACCATCTATGTTTTCGAATCTCTATGATTGGCAACAGCATATTATGCCGTCTCTCTGTCATATGCTTAATTATATTAAAAATCGTATAGTATCCATTGATAATTTTCAGACTCTTTCAGACTTCAGTCGTTCGTTTGTTTTTGAATTGAGTTGAAAAAAAGTTCAACCAGGATATTCACACTCGTGGGAAGTCAACAAAAAATTTCAATAGGAAGAGTTCAGCATGTCGAAATATCGGAAAAAAATCACAAAATATAATGGTAAGTAGACTTGAAAACTTTGTCTCGTGTCCTGGACGCGAAGATGATAACTATTTTTGATTATTGTATATTTATATTAATCTTTCGCCGGTAAGCTTGTGCTATAACGATCTAGGTATAACTCGTATATTATTCTCGTTTTCCGAATCCGGAATCGGCGGAATCTTGATTAGTCGTCACTCGTCCTTCACTTGTTCGATATTGTTTCTGGTTGCTTGCTGGTGTTTATAAGTGACAAAACGAATAATAGCCTATTGCTAACATACATTTTAAATATTATAGGCCATTCTTTTTATAAATTGTAAATTTATCTCGAAAAGTATTCATCATTGTTTTTAAAAATATTGTATTATGTATATTATTATTTGAAAACATTTTGAAGACATTAAAAAAAAATATATTGTTACTTTTTTCATTTTTGAATGAACAACGAACGTTAACATTATAATTTATTATTGCTTTATAAACAGAATATTTTTCTCTCTTATTTTGCTCATTTTTATGTATACAAACGAACTTTGAATGAGTAATAATTAGATGTTAGGTAATTAGTATAAAGTATTAATAGAACGTTTTTGAGAGGATATCGGATCATGATATCTAGAATTATCCGCTTATTTAAATATGAAATATACTTGTAGGCCAATAAATCTATAAGCAATTATTAACTAGTTGAAAATTCGATTT